GGCCCGAGCGGCACACCCCACCCCTGCCGGGCGTCGGGGGTCAGCCCGCTGGGGACGGGCCCGGCCCTGGAGTCCCAGCCTGCAGCTGGCCGTCCCTGCCGCCCCCCAGCCAGGGCCTTGTCGGACCGCTGACCCCGAAAGCTCTTCTCCGCCCCAGGGGCAGCCCCACGGACCCCTGGGCCCCTTTCTCGGGAACAGGAACCTCCATTCCACTCGGGTTTCCCTTCCCCCCTTTTCCTTCCTCCTGTCGGTTCTTTTTCAGACCCTCATGTTTAATCATGTTCCCGGGAACCCCAGGGGCGTGGGAGACCTGGGCCGGGCACCCTACCGTGGGCCGACACTGCCCTCCTGTGGGAGAGAGGCAGGCTGGCTGCCCGGGAGCTGCCCGCGCAGGAATAAACCTGCATCTTCCAGGCTCCTTGAAGACGAGTCCTGCCTTGCCTTGCTCTCCACCCTCAGAGGCAGGGGGGTCCCCCCTCCAGGGAGTGGGGCAGGGAAAAGGCAGCCCCTGTAACGTCGCCGGGAGTGATGCCTGGCACCAGCCGGGCCAGGGACGCGCCAGAGCAGCCCTATGGCACTCGAACGCGCCCCAGCGGCCCTGGAAGCGGCAGAGCTGTGCCAGGGGCCGGCTCCCCCGAGTCAGCGTCCAATGGCCCGTAGCCACGAGGGGCCGGAGGATCTGCCGCCCGTCATGCCTGGCCAGAGACACGGATGTCAGGGCCCCAGATGTCGCCCCAGCCGCCGGTTTGACTGCGGTTTTTAATAGCAATGCCCAGGGACACCTTCTGGGCAGGGAAGAGTAACCCCGGCCCTTGGGGGCAGTGTTTTTTGTACTTTAAACATGAATTGCCACCACCGTGTGAGTGCAGCAAGCAATATACAGCAAGTCATGGACCCTGCCCTGCGTATAGTCAGTCTCGGCCCAGATGTCGCCCCAGCCGCCGGTTTGACTGCGGTTTTTAATAGCAATGCCCAGGGACACCTTCTGGGCAGGGAAGAGTAACCCCGGCCCTTGGGGGCAGTGTTTTTTGTACTTTAAACATGAATTGCCACCACCGTGTGAGTGCAGCAAGCAATATACAGCAAGTCATGGACCCTGCCCTGCGTATAGTCAGTCTCGGCCCAAGGGCCAGGTACTTGGGTTCTCTCATTCTCCCCTGCCGGACAGTTAGGCCCAAACAGGCTTTCAGCCACCAGGCGGACCCAGCATTCGCCCCGCAGAGCAACGGCTCTTGGACATGTCTCCGCCCGGGCTCGAGAACCCGGGGCCAAGTGGCCCGGCAGCATGGAAAGTCCTTTTTCTCCTCCTCCGCCCCCCCTCACTGCGCGTTCTTCTTCATGAACTTCAGGGCCACGTTGTCATACTCCGTCTCCCCGAGCCAGTCGTCCCCTGGGCCGGCGACGGGGCATAGGATGGGCACGGCCCTCTTGGGCACGGAGTAGTCATCCCGCTGCGGGTTGTAGGGGTACTCGTGGCCCACAGGGTCCTCCGCGGTGGCCTGCAGCTTCCAGGCCTCGCCTCGGACCTCCTCGGGCTCGTCGTACACGGAGTGGGCCTGCAGGCCCTCGGGCTCGTCGTAAATGTGCTCTGGCTTGGAGTGCGGGAGCGTGTGGTTCCGCTTCTTGGCGCCCACCTCGTCGATGCTGTCGTACAGAAGCCGCACAGGAAGCTGCCAAACTCGGAGTTCATCAGGGACTTGGCGATGGTGTCGAAGGGCACGGCGTACTCGCACTCGGGGGCCGCCTTGTTCTGAGCCACCGCCTTCCGCGCCCGCTCCATGGTCTTGGCTCTGCCCTGCGGGTTCAGCCGGATGGAGTCGCGGGGCTCCGCGTAGGGCACCTCGGGGTCAGCAGGGGCGGTGTAGCTGCGGGTGGGCTCCCCGGACAGGGGGCAGCTGGTGGTGGGCTTCACGGATTTGCCCTTGGCTGGTTTCCCCTCCAAGCTGGACTCCAGGGAGAGGCACTTGGTGCTGGCTTGGTGCAGCAGGGCCCCCCCCGTGGCGACCCTGTCCTCGCCCTCCTTGGCTCGGCTCAGGGTCCTAACCGGCACGGGAACCCTGAAAGCGTCGTCCGCCGGGCCCCGAGGCCCCTCTGCACGTTGATGGCTGACTCGATGACCTGGAAGATCTCGTTGCCTTGCGTCGTCTCAAACTCAAAGTTGCCTTCTCCAGAGGTGCATCTGCGGCCGGCTTCGAAGGAGAAGGTCACCTGGCAGAGGGGCAAAGCCAAGCAAGGTCAGATTCCCTGCGCGACCCTCCACAATCCCCTCCCCATTCGGGATAACAACCTACTACCGCAGCCAACTACCTCTCCTTGCCCTCGAGTGCTCGGGAATGGAAGGCGCCGGGGTCAAACCCCGCTGGTGACTTGTACTGAAGGCCATTTCACCTACACCCCACCCATCAGTATGGAGGGTTTTCTCGCCTCGCTCGCTGAAGGGTTTGTACCCTAGAAAACTCTCCTGCAGGCCTTGACACAAAAGGGGGCCCAATCTCCCTACAAGGGTGCTGGCTTGTGCAAGGAGGCATCTATCAGAGATGAGTGAGATGGGGCTTGGGCAAACCACCGGCTCCGTCCCGTGGACGCAGCGGGGAGCCCCAGGCAAGCTCCCCACTTGCCTCGCCCCACCCGCACGCCGCTCAGAAACGTGGCTGCCGGGCGGTTTCGTCTTCAAATCTGTGAGCCTGGAGGGGAGAGGGGGGAAGGCTTTGGGAACTATTCCCGCCCCGGCACAATCCCATTGGCCGGTTTGGGGCCAGAAACTGACCAATGGGAGCCGCCTGTTTCAATAACAGGCAGCCCAGAAGCACCACGCCCCCTCCCCTTCCCGGGCTTGTAGTTAGTCACAGAGCACATGGCTGCAGCCTGTGCAGGGTCAGGGCAAACAGGGAGGCTGCTTCAGGAAAGTGCTGGGCTGGTAAGTTTCCTGGACAGAGCCTGCCTCTGGCACCCCAGTCCTTCCCTCCGCAAACCCTCTGCCCCCCCCACTCCTGCTCTCCTACTCCACATACCCAATTCCTCTGCCCCCCTCTTGCACCCATATCCCCTCCCAGATCCAGCACCCAAACCCCCTGCCCCAGACCACAGTCCTCTCCTGCCCTAGCTCACAACCCAAACCCCTGCACCTCAATCCCCTGTACCCCCTCCTGCACCCCAATTCCCTGCCCTTAGTCAAAATCCAACCCCCGGCACCCCAGTCCAGTGCCCCAGGTCACAACCGCCTCCTTCACCAAGCCCCCTCCCTTACCCCAACCTCCCTTCTGCAGCTAACCTCCATCCCAAACCCCGCATCTCCATTAATATCAAGGAAGCGTGCGGCCCTCGACCACTTTCCAAATTCTTGGAGTGGCCCCCCATCAAAAACTATTGCCCACCCCGATCTAGACGATGCTTGGTCTTGCCCGGAGGGCAGAGCACTGGCCTTGACTCTCGAGGTCCCTTCCTGTTCTAGGAATCGATGACATCGCAGCCAGCGGTGCCTGTAAGCTGATCGCTTGGGCAGCCGCTCAGGAGAGATGTCAATGCCGCCCAGATAATTGCCAGAGCGCCCCCAGCCAGCAGCCTGTGTTTCTACTGGTGGTGCACACCCGCACATACCTCGGTGCACACGATAAAATTTATTCCACACATGGATGGGGAAAAAATGAGAGGGGACACAGCTACTCTAGGCTCAGCGTCCCCCAGCGGGAGAGTGCTCGTGTATTATCTTGGAGAAGTTCACAAACGGCCCCAGGTTTAGCAGGCTCCTGGCTGGGGGGAAGCAGAGGCCTCCTGCTCCCAGTAGGTGAGGCTGGAGTGAGCGGGCAGGAGCGCCAGCTGTGGGAAGCGCTGGTCTCCCAGATCCCACTGGCAGCAAGCGCAGCAGCCGCCGGCAGGGGAGCGCCAGCCAGCCGACAGCTGCTCCAAACCCGGCCATTTTGACGGGAGGCTGCTTGACTTTTTCACATTTCCTGCTTCGTTTCCTGATCTGCCGGTCCCCGGCCCCCGCCCTGCGCTCCCTCCTGCCGGCCCTGCGGTTACCTTGTCCCGTCCGAACCGCCGCAGGAACCTGTACGGCCAGGCGTACAGCATGCTCCCCGTCTGCAGGTCCCACAGCTCCAGCGCCTCCTCCTCAGCCCGCAGGAGGAAGCTGCCCCACAGCTGGCAGCGCTCAGAGGACTCCGTGGTCCGGACTGCCACGCGGAACTCCCTCGTGGGCGCCCCTGCACAGGGAGGGGTGTAGGCGTGAGCCAGCTGGCCGTGCCGCACGGCCCCTCGTGCACTTTGCACGAATGCACGAGCCCCTCTCCGCCCTACCGCCGGGACCCTGCAACTCAATTACACATCCCCGGGCAGTCCTGTCATCTGCTGATGTGACAACCGCAGAAGGAGGGCCGGCAGTGGAGGGGGGCCGGTTACCACCCGACCTGGCTGCGTCCTACATAACCAGCCCAGAGCAGAACGCGCCACTGGGCAGGCCGGAGGAGAGGGACCCCATCCAGCCCGTGTGAGGCAGAGGCACTGTCGTACAATGGGTAGAGCGGGGGGTGACGTCCTGGGATGTGGCAGCTGGTGTGCCCTGGGGGGTGGCAGGTGGCAGGCCAGAGGCCGATAGATGGTAGTGAGGTGCTGCCCAGAGCTGCCCTATCACTGGGGGGTGGGGTACGGGGCCAATTCCTCCCTCTGGCTCTTCTGCAAAACATTCCGAAAAGGCAACGGCTTCCCGGCTGGGAGGTGCAGCAGGAGAGGCCCCCACACGTCCCTGGGTGGGCAGGGAGCCCCGACGCCCCTGGATC